TGCAGCATACAGTAAAAGATAGACATGTTATTGAGTGTTTGAGCCACATTTATTGAAGAGAAAACATAACTGTGCTGTCACTAACTGAAGTGTAGCAGCACTAGATCTAGTCCTTCCGACAGCAAGACACTTCTCTGGGGAGCTCAGCTGGTTTTTCCAGTTTAACTAACACTAGAATCTCTCCTGCTAGTCAAATGAATGTTACGGTATTATTTGATATTTTTTTAACACCAAAAATAAGCAGTATGATGAAACCTTTCTTTTGGCACGTTCATACTGGCTGCCTTGTAAGGTGTTCTATTTCCTGTGCATCTTAGTGAGTCAAAAATAGAAACTGATATGTCAGAAAGAGACATTGACAAAAATCCAGAGGCACACCAAACACACACACACACACACACACACACACACACACACACACACACACACACACACACACACACACACACACACACCATTGTCATCTCTCTCTGCAGCATTTCTTCAGGTTGTTCTTATCTCACATGTCACTCATATGTTGTGTATTTTTCTTCCTTTCTTTATCAACCCTTGTCTCTGCAGGTTTTCCTGAGCAGACAGTCTGTGTGGCGGATTTTGAGTTTGATCGGAAGTGAGTGAGTAAGCGAGAGGGAGTGGGTGTCATGGAGGACAAAGGAGATGGAGTTTTCCCAAAACACTACCTACCAAAACTTGCTGCTCCTGGGAGCCATCGCGGCGGCGTCCGCCTTTGTGGTCACTATCCTTATTGTCCTTGTCTGCGTTGGCTGCCAAAGGTAAGAGGGCTGTCACATTACTTTAAAAAAAGTAGAGGGCTCACTGAAAAAAAAAGAAGAGAGTGTTATTATCTCTGCTGCCAGCTTTATGTGCCCTCCCAGATCACTCTCATCATCCACTCCTTCTTTTATGTGCCTCTACTGCTTCTGAACTCTTCTCCTCCCTTCTTTCTCTTCCCTCCATCCGCCCTCTCTGCCTCTTTTATCCCCTGCTCTGAGCTGAGTGGCAGTAATGAATGTTAATTGCTGTGAGTGTCAGATCAGATGAAATGATGTTTACAGGACACTGAGGAGGCAGAGGCCAGAGTCAGAGCAGCCTCACATCACCCCTCTAAAGCAGAGTCCTCAGCAGGCAAAAGCAATGGAGCACCCCGCGGTTTAGAGAGGATCAGACTCCGAGCCAGGCGAGAGCAATGGAACATCCAGTGATTTTTTTCAGAACCCTCGGGGGCCAATCATACGCTGCACTGTGGCTTTGTTGCCATGGGATACACAGATAAGGATGTAGAGAAATGTCAGTCCGGCTCATGTCATGGACATAAAAGCACACTAAAGAACGAAGTAAATGCCACCAGAAGGATATACGTCATGTTAAGAGGCTTAATCAGTTTAAGAATAACTTTGTCAGGTACAAATAAAGGATAGACCTACTATTGAAAAAATCCCCCTTAGGATCACAGATATTGAGCAAGATATTAGTCAAAAACTTCTTTAGAAATCTTTATCTGTTCATGGCACTTTTATCTTAACACCTCTCCTGTTTCATGAGATTATGAACATCTATAAGAGGAGCCTTTCCCATGGGCCCCATCTGTTTGTGTGAAAAGGAGTGAGTTTCAGCTCACTTGGGGAAACTAAAGCTAGCTGTAGTGACGAGAACTTAAAACAACTGACCATGTACCGTCATATGTTCAGTTATATTTTGAGAAAAGTGTATAATTCGAAGATTTTTCTGTAATTTCTGCCCCCATAATGCTAAATATGCAGCACTATAGGAACTCATGTGTTGAGAAGAAGAACAGTTGTTACATTCACACCTTCACCCAGGAGCTTTTGTCTTCATCTCGTCACTCTCTCACCATATCAACAGGTTCCCATAGCTACTGCCACCTCCAGGGATCCACGATTCTGCGTTAAACTACTCCCGATACTTTGTTGCACAGGATTAATACCACAGGATAGTAAAGGGAATTCACATAGGGAAACTACAAAATAATATTTATGAGTCTTCTTGGTCTTATCATGAAAAGAAACACAAAAGTTTGTCATCAAAGGACATCCTCCGCATTGGCAAAACCCTGAGTCATGCTCCACTCTCTGTTTGACTGGGCTCTTGATATAAACCAAGGACTTTTATGCCCCGACCAAAGTTAGATGCTGATAGTATCTTTCTGTTCTGAGTGTGTATGTTCTCTCTCTGTCCACCGGCTCCTGTTGACCTTCCTCCCTTTGATGTTGTGACAGAAAAAGCAAGAGCAAGCACCCCCCAGCCGGAGAGAAAGGGACATCTGTAAATATGGTGAGACATGCTTTCATTTTACTCCCTCTTTCCCTCCTCCCTCTCTCCAATCTCGCAATCTCCTTCTGCACTATTCATGTCGACTTTTTCCCTAAATAGCTGGTTGGAAAAATAGATGCACCTTATGTATTACTAACGTGTTCATATGTGTGTGACAGCAGGGTTCCCTTCGACACCCAAAACTAAACTCCATGAGCAAATCTGACACCAGGCTGCATGAGATCAATCGCTTTCCCTGCAATGGAAACTGTAAGTGATGAGTGACCGTTAGTGACAAGATATTATACAACCATGACACTATCTCAGTGCTTCCCTCTTATCCGCCATCTTCCTCCCTCTTCCTCCCTCCCTCTCTGTGCAGCTGTTGGCAAGAGCCGTCCAGCCAGCATGGACCTCCTGCTGCTCCACAGTCGGCGCTCGCAGAACGACCTAAGACCCTCCCATGGGCGCCAGCTTCCCCAGATCCCCACCAGTCCCACGGGATCTGGTCAGGGGGGAGGAGGGGAAACGGGAGGAGATGGGGGAGGTGGCGCAGGTGGCGCAGGTGGAGGAGTAGGAGTAGGAGTAGTAGTAGGAGGGGAGACTCGAGACCACACCTACACTGAGGTGGGCATCCGCAACAACCCCACCCCCACCCACTGCCTGGATGACGGGCTGTATGAAAGCGTAGGTGTCCGGGAAGGTGACACAGGCCCCAAGGTCCCCTCCGCCCCGCCGCCCTCCTCAAGCAGCACTCCGGCTACAATCAGAGCGGCCCAAAGCCCCCCCGCTCAGGCCAACGGAGCTTGCAATGGGAACGGTCATGTGAATGTACGTACATACACACAGATCCTGTAAACCTGTATCATGAGTTGAATGTGAAAATGTGAAGTGCCTCACACCCAGTGATTCATATTTATTAGACAGAAAATGATCTCCAAGGGTAAATATATGGTCATTACTTCACAAGTCTAACCCAAGCTAACCTGTTGCCTGCAGAAAAGCATAGTAATAGCAGCAATATTTTAGATTTTAGTGTGACGGCTATAACAGTTATTTCTTTGTTTGCCTGTGGATGGCATGCATCATCATCAACTTGTGTGTGTGGTGTGTGTGTGTGTGTGTGTGTGTGTGTGTGTGTGTGGTGTGTGTGTGTGGTGTGTGTGTGGTGTGTGTGTGTGTGTGTGTGGTGTGTGCGTGTGTGTGTGTGTGCGTGGTGTGTGTGTGCGTGTGTGGCTCTTAAGTGTTCGAGCTGCAGCTGCTGTGTGTTCTGCATCGTCACAAATATTTGTGAGAAACTGACATCTCTGGTAAGCTTATAACTTGTGTGTTTCTTTGTCTTTTTTTCCTACAGGGTGGCAGAGGGAACGGCAGAGGTAATGGTGTCATTAACGGGACGTTGGCAGGAAGAGGTAATGGTGGGAATGGGGTCAACAGGTCCCCTCTGTCTTCTGTCAACTCTCTCGCCATCCAAGATCAAACTGCAGCAGAGTACGCTTCCATACGGAAGTTCAGAAAGGTAACATTGACTTCGATTTTTATTAAATCGTATATTCTGTTAAATTAGTAGTGGTGGTGGCGCCCTTAATGGAAGTTTTATTTTTCTCAGACTTAAATCAACTCATGGATTCCTTGTGATGTGTTGTATGGCTGTAGACTTCAACGATACTGTAGCATACCAACAAGAAGCGTATTGTGTACTAAAACAAAACACAGATGTTGCTGTACTGTATATGTAGGCTGTAACATGACACCGTCAAACAAAAATCGAAAGATAACATCACCTGATTCAGTGAAATTGAAAGTTGGGTCATTGGATTTGATGGAATTTATCTGGTATGCTGATATGCATGATAAGTGATGTTATCAAATCAAGCATTTAGCGCTACTAAAGTAGTGTTTGTGTGAAATGAATCAGTCTGAAGAAGAGCTGTGTACTCTGATTGATATGATCAACTGTGGCTGAAAATAGAAGTATTGCAACACCATATTGAGTGGTAGAGAATGGTAGAATGGTGGAAGCAGCAAGAAAAAATAATTTGTCATCTTAAGAAGAACTGTGCATCATAACAGACAGCGGTTTATATTTACATTTTGGAGACAGATATCAAAGATAAACAAAAGTTGCTTGATATGAACTTAAAATGTTACATTTTTGATTTTTTTGAACTACTTTTACATGTATGATACAGGGCTTTTAGCTGTATTCTATAACTGAAAGTGATGTTTCCACTGGTGACTCAATACTTCAAGGTCGACAAGACAAACAGGAAGGAAAATAACGGCGCTGACAGCCATTCAGACCAATCGAGTGTGAGTGATTCACCCTCTACAGCTCCTCCTCCACTTCATCGCAGTCAGGAGTTTCCGCGCAAAGCACTGGAGCCGTTTCACCTGCAAACCTTCCCGAAGGTACAGGAATCATCGGATCAATATGTTCTGTACAAAGCTTCATGCATCAAATCCCCAAACAAGTCACCTTACCAAACTGTAACTCAGTATGGTTACCACCAGAGGGCACTGTCTGCAAACAAACAACTCTTTATATTCCAATTTACAGAACATGATGGCTTATCTTTGCTTTTATCACACATTTATACTTTACAATGATCGAGTATAGTCATTGTATGTGTCATCATATTTTCAGTTTTTCAAAACAAAATAACCCCAAATAAAATAAAATAGGTTAAATAGAATTTCACAAACATAAACCAACCTTAATATCTTGTTTTTAAGATGTTGTCTCCGATTATAGTTTCCTACATGCATAATGGAGTTGTGTGTGCCAGCTGGATGTGTTTGTAAACAGTTTAGGGCAGTTCTGAGAGGGAAATAAAGGGACAATGATCGGATGGTGATCAGCCTTTCCTGTGGGTTTGTTGGCACACATATCCATTTGTATGTATGTGTGTATTGCTGTGCAGTACTGTGTGTGTGAGTGTGTGTTTGGCAGAGCATAAAACAGGTGACTTTGTCTTTCCCTTTAGTGATTTTAGGAGCTTGATAAAGTTGTTTAAACAGTTTTTACTTGGCTGTGGATGTCTGCCCAGTTGTTGACCTTTTTATCTTTGCTTGCTAAATCCTTGACGGTGTGTGAGTGTGCATGTATGTGCATGTTTGTGCGTATGTATTTATACCGCCCATTCGCCTCTTTGCAGTGTGCTTTGCAGCACAGTATTAGAGTGCCCAGAGTAAAGAGTGGAAGGATGGATTATGTAAGAGCTTGGCAGACTGCCAAAAAGCCTCTGTGTGTGCGTCTGTGTGTGTGTGTTTGTGTTGAATCTATCAGCAAGTCTATCTAGAAACAGCTAACAGGTAGCCAGCAGCCAGTGTGGGGATAAATAATGTTCACATGTTGAAGCCATTTGCTGTGCCCCTGCTTCTATTACTCAGCCTCACTGCACAGGGGGAGCTAATCAAAGTTGAATATTCCTCTGTCACATGTGCACACACTACTACCTTCTTTCTAATTGGTTTCTAATTGTTTTGTTAACACCAGAAGTGATGAAAAAGTAACGAGAGCAGTTCATGTACACCTTATTTTTTTAAGTATGTTATGGTAATATGCAAATACAATACTGGGGTTTAATAAACTGTTACTTTTTCACATACACACACACACACCCCATTTCCCTAATGCTGTGCAACATGGTCATTATGTACCTATAAACACTCAGTCAGACATACCACAACTTCTCAAACATGTAAAAACATGTTTTGAAAATTGCTACATTGTGTCAGTTTAATTCACTCACCTGCCCTCTTCAATTGATTTTGCTTACCAGGAGCCAGTGTTCATGGGCAATGGGGAGCAGTACATCTGGAAGCCTCCAGAGGAAGATGATATCATCACCTTGCACCCTCCTCCACTCCGCGCAGAGAGTGTACAGGGGCACCCATCACCCCCCACTGCAAAGGAGGTACTATGCGTGGTGTGTGTGTGTGTGTGTGTGTGTGTGTGTGTGTGTGTGTGTGTGTGTGTGTGTGTGTGTGTGTGTGTGTGTGTGTGTGTGTGTGTGTGTGTGTGTGTGTGTGTGTGTGTGACTACAGACAGACATATAGACAGACAGCTCTCTGATTTGTGACTGCTGTGTTTACTGACGGGGCGCCCTTTTGATTGGGCACGCCGTCATAACACCGCCACCTTGTGACCTGCCTGTCATGCGAAGTTTCTGCTTACGGCCAGAGCTAACGTTACATGGACCCAGCCTTCCCAACCGCCTGCCTGAACCCTGACCCAAATCTCCAAGCCCCTCCCCCCACCATCTATATGTGTCCAACTCACAACTCACCAGACGCATTGGACATCACCGGCTGAAAATGAATGAAGTGTCACTTTGTATTTATAGAGATGTTTGTTAAAGGTTAACTGTCTTGCCTCGTCAGCGTATGCAGACAGAATGTGATCTTGGATGCGGGTTACAAACTGACCTATATATATTTATGCACATTTAGGTAAAGATGTATGGTCGAGTCTGTTTGGTGTCTGCACCCCCCAGTCATCTCACATAACTACTGGACACAATACAACCTACAACCTACTTTATTGCTATTTAACTATATTTTATTACGGTGTAAAATATTTTTTGTTTTATATTAGATTTCTTGTTTTTTGTATTTTATCTATGCACCATGACATCAAGTCAAATTCCTAGTAGGCTATGTGCGAACCTACCTGGCAATAAACCTGTTTCTGATTCTGAAAGAGATACAAGCAGTTGGAGGATTTAAGGCATGCCAGGGTGAAGCTATTCTGAGTAGATGGAGGTGTGTCCCCAAAATAGTCCACTGTCTAATATTAGTCCATGTTTAACTTAGCTTCCCTTTTTATTATCCTCTTCATCAGCTCACCGAAGGCTTACTTCCATGTAATAACTTTGTTGGTAGTAGTTTTAGGATTAATAAACCAGAGAATTAATGTATTGTTCACAGGATCTATTAGAAGATAATCTACAGGAGAAGGAAATTATGTTTAGTTGTATTTACTCTGGAAGCCATGTAAGAGTTTAGTAAAGCAGCAGTTGTAATCTGTTGCTAAGTTTCTTGTCTAAGCCAGTGTTGAGGCAAAGCGTTTGGAGCTGTATGTGGAGATTAACGGGTTAAATCCCTGCTGTTTGGCTCATGAGTTCAACTCCTCTGCAAATTAGACGGGCACACAAAGCAGCTGGCCTGCATTCTGCAATCTCTTTCTTTATCAGTGTTTTGTATTTTCCAAACTTTTCTCTCTCTCAGCCGCTGTGTTCTTCCATTTGTACGTTTGTTGTTGCCCTAACATGCCCATATACTTTGTATGCTCTGGAGTTTGTCAGTTGCAGGCAGCCGTCAGAAAGGTGTTGAGTTTCCACTCCCACCTAGATCTGCTCCTTTCCTCTGGCACGCTACTTCTGCTATTAGGAGGCGCTGCCTTTTTCAACCAATCACGTTGCACAAAGCTTGTCTCACAAGAGGAATATCGGCCGCTAGCAGACCTTTTGGAAACATTTGCCAAATAAGCAATTCACACAGTTGATTACAAACAGATTTGTCAGTCATAGTCATGCACATAGTTGTTTCCATGGATAATCTGTGTAAACTGAAATTAAATGTGACTTTTTAAAGTCCTGGTTTGAGCACAGAGATAAAGTAGTATCATAACAGAAAAGAGCATGGGTGAAGGGGAGGAGAAAAGCAAACACACAATGCACAGCTTCCTCAACAGCTGCAGCCCAGTTCTGAAATCCCCATCATCTTGTGACTTCCTTCCTCTGCTGCACAGCGCTGCAAATTCTCGGTGCACAAATGTACACACACTTGCACATACACACACACACTCAGCACATTGTGTGCACACACTTGTAGCATACGCCAGGGTCTTTGTTTATCCAAAAAGGGTCACACAAGAGATCTGTGGGGGCAGGGTTTATGTGTCTGTCAGAGAGAGAGAGAGAGAGATACGCAGTGCTTTGCAAATGTATTACCCTATAGCTACATCAGTGTTTTGTTTTTCCTCATATGAGACATTTATGTAAAGGAACTATGAAAGTGAAGGCAGTGTGAACGCACACACAGAAAGCATTCTCCGCCATTGTCGAAGCTCTCAGGTTTCAGTTTTTTTGGGAGTGGAACAAAAACAAGGCTGATCTTTGAATGTGTGCAGGAGAGAGAGTTTGCATAGCCAGTGTTTCTCAGAGCCGCTAGAGCAGAGCTGCTGGTATGGGTGTGAACACTGAGAGTAAACATGACCAGGTCCCACAATCCTCTGCTCTTGTGCTCCCCTTGTGGAATTTAGACACAGAAATTCCAGAGGTCACATCTCCGGTTTATCCAAATTCCCCACAGGACCTCAAACATGACTTTCAGTTGTGAGTCCTCGATATCAAATGCTACATGCTTCAGTTTTCACAGGTCTACAATAAACACATGCAAATACTGTTCAGTATGTAGATGCATTTACAGTCACATGCGTACACATAAAGTCAAGAACATGTACAATGGCTTCATTCAAAGCAAATCGTATGTGCCCAAAGTCCATCAGTGACCAGAGCGAGTTGGCTGTCATCCAGATCTTTCACACCATACCCTGTTGTCTGTTGCCAAAGCAGTTATGGAGCAATGTTAACAGGTCCGTCCACTGCAAAGCTAACTCTATCCCAGCCTAGACCTCAACAGACTGATAACACAGTTTACTCTGTCTTATCCTACCCTGTCAAAATAGGTCAGGTTACCGCACAGAGCACGCTGTGTCAACACATGCGCAAACTAGTGCACACGTACCCTCACGATCAATCTTCATACATTCATTTTCACACACTATTAGCACCAATGTAGGTTTACTCTCAAATATTGTATTTTGGTCTGTGAAATACTCACACCGAAATAAATACATTTAGGAAGTTTGCACATACGAAGAGTAAAGTTGACTAAAAGGTGGTGAACATTAATACAGTGACTGTTCATTTGAATCCCAGCAAAGTTAAGAATGTATTATCATTTATGGTTGAATAAATGCACTTATAGGTGCAAGGCCGTGAATGAGGCAGAATAAGAGTGGCCTTTTATTGGAGCTGCTACCCATAATTGGAATTGTACTAGGTGTGTATCGTTTACTGACACACCATAATGTTTTCTCCTCTCGCGTGTGTTCTCAGATTGCAGACACCTACTCCATTGTGTGTAAAACCCAGAAGAAGAAACCTCCCATGGAAAACAACGGATCAAAGACCCTCCCACGCTCCTTTGGCGGAGGTTCACGGGGCCGTGGCAGAGGAGTTCAGGGCCCGGCACGTTCCCAGGAGGAGCCGGGCTACGAGCCGGTAGGAGACAGGTCCTGGCCCGAGTCTGACCCCGCGTACGCTACAATCGACGCCCACCGGAAAAGGGAGCAGGGGGGAACCAATAACAGCCCAGTTGGGGGTTCTGCCACTCTGAAAAGGAAGAAGCAGACGCTGCAGCAGGCAGCTCCAGCAGCTCCAGCGGCTCCAGCGGCTCCAGCGGCTCCAGCGGCTCCAGCGGCTCGAGTGGCTCCAGTGGCTCCAGTGGCTCCAGCGACTCCAGCGGCTCCAGCGGCTCCAGCGGCTCCAGCGGCACCAGCTGCACCTCAGGGCTCAGGACCCACCGCCCTGCCTAGAGGCGTTCCTGGTGGGGAAAACTTCTACGAGACTATCAGCGATGTGAAACAAGGGGCCAACAGCTCCAGTACCACCACCATCTTCACCTTCAATGATGGGATGGAGATGTATGTCACTGGCCTGTAGCTGGCTGACAGGCAGAAAGGGCCCAGGACCCACTGGTACAGAGTCATGAAAGGGACCCTCCTGTTCACCTGCCAACGTCTTGCTGTACATACATACAAGGCCCTCTATAGACAAAAAACATGAGGATCCATTTTGTGATGACATCAGGTACAAACAGGGTCTTAATCCAGGTTCAGACATCCCTACATTGGTCTGTACTTCAGAACCAGCCTAAGCCTAGTCCAGCCCAAATATGGACCAAATACGTTTTAACAAAAAAAAAAAGATTAAGAAAACTGGAATATACATCTTCAGTCTACTGTGTCACTGACCATACTCACCTGTTTGTGTATCATTTTCCATAATATCTTTATTTTTATATGAACACTGTACGCTTCAAAAAGTATGTGGTGTAACTCACATCCTGAGAAGAACACACTTTAATATATATATATATATATTTAAAAAAGTAATGTATGTGCATGCATTGTGCAAACACACACCTGAAAATAGAAACAAGTAGCAAGGAAAATTGTAGGTATATTGAGAGGAAGAGGCACACTGTTACCTATTATCAGACATATACACACACACACACACACACACACACACACACACACACACACACCACACACACACACACACACACACACACACACACACACACACACACACACCACACACACACACACACACACACACACACACATATGCCTCATTTTGGAGGGACTTATGTAATAAGCAGATGGATGGCACAGAGATTTGCGGTGCTTAGCTCTCCCTAAGCAAACATCTGAAACAGGTTCTCTGGTCGCTATGGCCGGTTGCCGGGCAGACAGCATTGTGGTGCTTTGCTCCAACACAGAAGTAAGCGAGGGCTATGGTCTACATTTTAAAAATAAATAAAAAGGTTCATCGTTGTGCTCTACATAGCAGTTAATAATATCAGCCCTTAACTTAATAATGTTACATCCAATCAACAATCAATACTCCAATTTCACAAACATCTGTACCCAGAAGCATGATGACACACCCCAGCTCAGATACAAACATACTTGGCACAATCATGGGGGTAAGTTGAGATCAGGGGCATCGAGAAGGTTGTGAAAGAACTTCTCCAGAAGGATACGGGTGACAGATTTCACAATACAAAATGTTCACTGTATACAACATTGGGAAAATGTAGAATATTTATAAAAATAAGGAAGCGAAAGAGTGCCCAAAATAATACAGGATGTTTTATCCTGCGCAGTTAATAACATGTAATGTCCTTTGGGGACTGTAAACTGCTTATTTTCTGACCGTTATAATTTTGCACTCGATAGCTGCGGGGGTTTTAATTTAATTGCTCATTAACATGCTGTAAAGGGCATTTCCAAGTACAGTTCTAAAAGGCATCTATGGTCTCAAGTCATAGCTAGAGCTCCCCAAAGCTCACCCGACTAAAGTCTGGTGGTTGAAATAGCAACATAGGGCTTGGACTCCAAGGAAAATAAAGAGCTGGGCATGAAAATTACCAGTGAGTGTCTTTGGAAGGTTGCCCCTCGCTCTCTCGCTACCCTCTCTCCAGCCTCTGCACCGAGTTCTCTTCCGTAATAAACAATGTATTTTCCATGTAGCTTTGGGGAACATTAAAAAAAGAACAGGAATAAAAACAAAATATCAGACGTTTAGTGAATGGGCATAAAGATAAGGGGTGAAGAGGGATATAAAATGCTTACCGAGCTGAAGGATGCATTAGAAAAAGCACACTGTGAGACAACCATGCAAAGAGAAGACGGGTTTAGTAGGGTTAGTAATTCAATGATAAATGCTACTGTTTCAGAAAGTATATAAAAAAAACAAATGCACTCTGTATTTTAATGCACTGATTATTTTTTCTTACCTACTGACAATACCATTGGTTAAATAGCTCATGCCACTGCCATGAAAACAGTACGTTGGTGCAATTTTTTCCTGCTTGATCAAAAAAAGTGCATGCTTTGATATATGGAGATGAAAACAAATATTGTGGTACTTATTTTATCTCTTTGTTTGTTAATATGTTTCTGTTTTTTGCCATGAGATGCGAAGCAGCATTCAGTTTATTTTCCCAAAGCAGCTACCTGGAGGAGGAAGGGAGAGCAATAGAAAGTGAGGGAGAAGCCGCTGGGATTTTAGAGCGGAGCGTTGTTCATCCTTCCGCTCTGGGGGAACAAGAAGGAGCGATAGAGGTGAGGAGGGGGACGAAGAACAGCTAGTAAAACTGGATAACTGAAAATGGACACGGACCCAAAGGACCCTCCCCCTCCTGATGTGTATTTGCCATAGGTATTTGCTTGCTTGCGTACGTGCACACACACACACACACACACACACGAAATCAGGCCCACACTGCCATGTGTGTTTCCAGTTTAGGGGATGAAGCACATTTTGCTTCCTTGCATTTTCTCCCTCCCCCAGCTGTGTTCATTCTCCAATCACCTCTCCCTCGCTGTGTAGGGGAGGGGCCTTTGATGTCCAGTTATGAGGGACTCAGGGAGGGATATGAGGGGGGGGGGGGGGGGGGGGGGGGGCAGGGGCTGCGGGGTCAGGCCAAACCCAGTCTGATATCAACAATGCCCCAACAGCTCAACTACTGTCTGATATGAGAAATGGCCAACAGCTGAGACGCTTTACAAGCTTTGTTGAGGCTTCCCTTAGACAATGCTGGCTTGAAATCGCTTTCACACCTAATCCTTTTTCTCTGGCTGTCACATTATGTGTCACATTTTCTTTATCCTGAGAGAAAGCACTGATCTGATATATATTGTTGAACACTGTTACAGTATACACTGATCGAGACAGATGTTCATTGCACAAACAACTACAGTATGATGATGTAAATGTGTAAAATACTTGGTTGCTGTTCTGATGTTGTTCTAATGTAACATACAGTACAGTATATTTGTTGAAAAAAAAGATGGTTATCACAGACACATTGTACTTGTGGATGCAATATGTTTCATGCTTTCCATGCAGATGCTGTTTGTTAATTGTCTTCAGATATAATTATGGGCCAAAACTGCTGTGACAGCTGTAGCCAATGTTGTATGTTCTTAAAGCACAGGGTTTAGTTGAAAAAATAATGAATATAATAAAATATAGTGTGACAGTGCAGATATGCAAAAGATTGTAATGTTTTATATTAACCTTCATAAAATATTAAAGTGAGTTTTTACTTTTCTAATAAAGTGGCACATTATAACGTGTGTTTGTCTTTTCCCTTAATGTTTGTACATAATATCAAATTAAGCAGCACTAGTGTCAGTTGTTGCAGCTGTGTAGCAACCTCACGGTATTAACTGTAGCTTGCAATAATGCAGCTTGGGTGCACACAAGATGTGTATCTGCTTTATTAGGCAATAAACCTTGAGTCTTGGCTGTGCAGACATTTGGGTTGAATAAAGAGGCATTCAGGAGCTTCCAACAACTGAAACCCGAATAAAACAAATGTTATTAATACAAAAGTTATTTGATCATGTTTATGAGATACACATTTCCAACAAGCACTCCAGTTTTAGGTAAAGAAAGCTGTTGGAAAAAATGGCTAAAACTCGGTATTGACCCTAGAGAACACATTAGTAAATCAAGTATTGTATTTTTTTACAAATTATGTGGAGAGTAGAAATTGCCCTAACAATGCATTACAGTAATAACGTATCTCTATTAACTTGTCCAAATTGTATTGCAGCCAAGCCAATGTCAACAGAACCTAATATTATCATACTTTAAATCAATCACGCCTTTACGACAATCTCAGAAAACTGGGCTAGTTCATAAGCCTCGGTATTTACTGCAGGGCTATTTACTGCATTAATTTGCCCTGCACAGACCTTCATGGTTTGGAGTCACAACTCATTTTACATTTGAACAACCATTATTAATAACACATTGTCGAATGGTTTATAACTTTTGAAAAAGTAAACACTCTAACCAAAGCTATTTATTCATAGGTAAAACCCTGTTAAATGTACGGTTAAGGCGAGTAAAGATGATCCATTAAATGAACATTTGATTAGCAGTAAACATAACTGCGTAGTTTGCCTATGCGGCCGGCTGACTGTTTTTCCTGTGCCGTCTCTCGCCTGCCTCGCAGACCGCTTCGTCGCTGACAGACACCGGCCGGTAAACTGCAGAACACGCCCCTTCCCTCGTCCAACCAAATGACTCGAATTAGATAAAAGTTTGATTGACACAACCAAATCAGCCAATCAGAGACTGCCTCGTTGTGGACGCGTGCCAAAGTGCAATGTTTATGTACGCAGCCGACCAATAGGAGCACAGTAAGGGAGGCGTGGCATTCTTTTGGAGGAACGAGGCAAAACAATCTTTTATCCTCCTGACCGTCGGCTTTTTGGATATCCTGGGTAGCAGTGGTGGCAAACTTCAGATGTAGACTAGTACAGAAGTTAGGACAATATTTATCAACTTGCGACAATCCAGTTAAATGTATCAAACTCCAGCAATTTGCACTGCAATCTATAGAAAGCTGGTTTTCTTTCTTTAGTTTCTCCTCGCCCTGTCTGAGTATGGATAACAGATATATTTTGGAGCAGACGTCGGTTGGGACAAGGGTCGGTGGGGCGGATTTTAACTACCGGCCAGGCCGCTCCGTGCTGTGCGACACCCGGGTCCCCACGGCGGAGAAAAACGGTCCCATGCCGGTGTACACACACGGCCCCGTCTTTTACAAATTGTTAATGGACGGCGGCTCGGTGTCGGGGGTTAAGGGCGAGCGAACCTCTCCCAAAGGAAATGGACGAATATTGCACGAGGTGGAAAAAGTAAGTGCCTTTTTTCATGTTAACTTTGTACGCGCGACTCCATTCGCCGGTAAAGTCATCTGTGCGCACCCAAGTTGCAGCGCAGATACTATCAAGCATGCAACGTTGTGTCATTACGCTGTTTACTTATAAGTTTGACTGGTCTCTCACGCCGTTATTGCATTTTGAAATATGCCACAGTGAAGCTCACACTGACGTCACTTCTTTATTTTGTGTTGTTTTGTGTATAGTACCGCCTTCACCCACTTTGCTTGTGACAGTCATTTCACCGACTGCTGTCAACGCTCGCTTACAATAACGTCGTATCAAAACCGCTTTAAATGGCGGAGCATTCTGTGTGCAAAGTTTACAGAAAAGGGGGGCAGGGACTTCAAACTACTAGCCAAACCCCCTCCCCCATAACTGTAGGGTGGAGCTACAGCAGGCTTCCTGGCTGCACAGCACGGCCCGGCCCGTCCCGGCCGGCTCTGCCCTGAACACAACCAGATAGAACTGTGATATGTTCCAAGTGTTATCATATGCAGCAGCAGGGTTTTTGTTTGCATAGTGTTTACACTATATTTGCTTACATGTTTTTGCATTGCAACTTGTGACCTGCACCAGAGTCAGTACCAAATTCATTAATCTAACCATGTCATTTAGTTACGGTGCAACATCAAATATGCAAAGACGACGAATTGCCAAGCCTGCTTTTGATATGGATCAGATAGCAGTTTATAACAAACTGTTGCTTCTTTATTTTAACACAGCAGTGTGAAGGCACTTATATGGACCCTAGCTTTTTTTCAATGTTGTTAATTAAGTTTAGAATAAATTATTATTTTTTAGCTCCAAAAGTTAGTTCAATTTGATGAGTTATATCTGATGATTAGCTGTTTTTAATCTGTCTAAATGAACAAAAAATATTTCGCTTTTGGACTGTTATTTTTAAACATTCTATAGACTCTGTAGTTAGCCATTTAACACCAAATGAGCTGCAAATTAATTTACACTCAATACAAAACGAACATAATATACAAAAATAAAGTTATATTTTGTATGATCATATTTCTCATTAAAATCAGTTAATCAATGCAGTCATGTTAGTCGCTTAACTTCCCTTCATCGCTCTCATACATTTTGTTTTAATCAGATGCCATGCTTCGGTTTTCACTTTAGGGTTTCTGTGGGAAATCTAATTATCCATGTCAATATATTTGTATATGTGCATTGAAGCTTTTAGATGTTGAATTTGTTAAACTTCTTTCTATCACATATCCCATTATTAAGCTTCTCGTGTAGAAGAAATGCCAATTGGCCTTAAAATGATAGACTGACTTGAATGTGTTGTTCCTAGACTGGCCTGGGGGAGCAGAAAGACACGGGTTCCTCTGGGATCTTGAAGAGGGCCAGTCCTACTCACTGCCCAGGCACAAATGGGCAGTCGCCAGGCGTCTTCATGCACTTGGACATCAGGAACCCAGGGAAACAGGCAGAGCTGGCCAACAACTTCAGAGCAGCACAAGAGTGGATCATCCCACCGTCAGAGATACAACCCCTTCCCTCCTCCCACATCCCCGTCCCCAGAAACAGGTACGAAGTTGCTGATGACATCAAGGCATCAACCCCTCTTGTATATTTATTGGATTCATTCCAAAACAATTTTTGTGTGCATGGCTCCTATTTCTATTCAGCTCGAATGGAGCTAATTTGACACAGAACTTGTGGTGAAAAATCGTATACTCGATTCCAGGCCTTCCTTGACAGAGTGTTGACTAAAAGTGGAATTCAGCTTCTGGCTAAAACTGTGCATTGGTTTGAGCATGAATGGTGCAGGGGTGTACTGGTCAACTGACCACATGTTTGGTGTTCTATCCAGAATAGTTTCAAAATATGCCCTAAGAGAGCCAGAGCTGGAGATGAAGGCCAGGATTGCACAGGATTGCACAATCACTTGGAAAAAGTAGCAAAAGAACAAGATAGTTACAGTGTCGCTTTTGTTTACGGTTGAATCAGCTTTCTACACTCAGGAAATCTTTTTTTTCCTTCAGGTTTCTTACCTTGCTTCACTTCTAAGCTTAATACTTAATCCCTGTTGTTGACCATCTTAATGCATCTATCAGTGTGATGTGTTTGTCATACAGCGAGCTTTGTTGTGTGTGGGTGTGTTTTGTTTCATGTTTCATGTGCAGGGAGTTTTTGCTGGACATGGAACATTATTTGACAGTCCTTAGGCAACCTTATATGCACATACACACTGTTTTCAAACGGAAGAAGCAGAACATGCATCCAGGGACAAGCCTAGTGCACTGATAAGTGATTATTTAACACTGCGGAGCACTGAGAGACTGTAGGCGGTGCCTGAGCACAGTTTCCTTCGTTTTATGCCGCAATTGGTTACTGTCTGTGGCAAGATGCTGCCTGTCTGTCAGACGGCCCTTACACATTAACAGTACTTCTGCTAGTAGAAGAGTAAACACTAAAAACAGATTTCAACTGCGGAGCTTATGATTGATTTTGGGTGTGGTCTGTAGGGGTTGGGGGGTTAAACCCCACATTTCTTTCCAGCGTTCTGTCATCATCACGTGAACATCACGTGCTGCTGGTCATGTATGACATGAGGGAGTGTCTGTGGGGAGCATGCAAGACCGAGCATGCTTTTTGAGGGGTGTTGTGTCTACTTCTCTGAAAGTGTGTGTTTAAATGTGTATACCCAATACAAACAACAAGGTT